CGAGTTTTTCTGACGTTAAATCCCGAAGCTGGATTAAAGGAGATTTATTTGTATGAGTATTAATTAATTATATATATATATATATATATATATATATATATATATATATATATATAGAGAGAGAGAGAGAGAGAGAGAGAGAGAGATTATAACGGATGTAACAAGCAAAATTGTCTAAATCGTGTAACAGCAAAATTGTTCAATTGTTAGATTAAGTTTTGAACCGTAGTATCTTAGAAATGATTATTATATCTTGCTGGAATTATCCGATTGGTCTCTACTTTGAAGAATAAGAATGTATTTAGCTCTACGTTGAAATAATGATCCCTCTTACTGTACTGACCCCCCCCAGCACTGATCCAATTTTCCTTTCTATTTCTCCCTCCTTTTTAAACTTTTTTAAACTTATTCACCGTTCTTGTAATAGTTCTTGAAGATCGAAGCCAGATTATGAATGTTACTGTAGACCTGAATGATCTTTTTCCTCCCACCATTGCTCAGTAGGGAAACCATAGTGAGGCTGACACAAAATGATTTTAACCTGTCCTCTTTTTAGCTGAATAACTCAAAGGTTTTTTCAGTGATTCTTACGACAAATTATGTCAAGACGACTGACCGTCTTATCTGAAAACCTGGCAAAAAAGAACCTCAATTAGTTTAGTTTTTTTTGTGGGATGGATAATTATCCTATGGTGTTACACGATTTGGACAATTTTGCTGTTACACCCAGTATATATGAGTATTAGGCCCTTAATATGTATCATTTGTATCTGGTTAAAAGCCGAGCCATGCTAAAACATTATCATTGCTTCGATGTTTGAAATTGTGCTTTGAGGTTGTTGAACTTCATCATGTATCATTTCATTATTCATGATAATGAAATGATATATAATAAAGTTATCAATTTTCCTTAATTGGTCCTTAAATAGTATATACACACAATCAATAAAGAGCTAAGTAAAAATGCGAGACACTTCTAAAATCTTTCTAATATGGTGCAAAAAAATGAGCTAGGAACTATTACATCAACCTGTGACAAAATGTCCTACTTTCTTGGTCGACTGTTTGACAAGATAACCATGTGCAAATCAATGGGAAAATGTCATTGCAGCTGACTCGATTCAACAAGAAAATGACCTCTAGTATTTATTGATATTTTGGAAGGTTTCAGAGATAATAAGCATATTTGGAATATAAACTCACAAGATCTCGTTTAGTTTAGTCTAGCAACGGGTCAAGCAGAAATGGGGCTTGGTGAATAGTGGTGCAACCGTTGTCTGAGTAGAAAGGGGAACTCTTGAAAATCAGCATTCAATTCCTATCTTTTATTTTACATGGTTTGAAATGCACTTCACTGAGAGAAAAGGTTTTCTCCATGGATCGATGAGTCGGGGGACGTGATGGTGGTCGAAACTTATTAAAGGCAATTTTCAATGCGGATTTTCATAACAAGCAGATCATTCACGGCCGTCTGTCTGTCTGTTTGTCTGTCTGTCTATCTATCTATCTATCTATCTATCTATCTATCTATCTATCTATCTATCTATCTCCGTCTGGTCATATCTATATCATTCTGTTCATATCTATCTATCTATCTATCTATCTATCTATCTATCTATCTATCTATCTATAACTTCAATATATATATATATATATATATATATATAGGTACCTCCTATGAAAACGATAATTATGGTGTAATTAATTAAAATTTATAATAAAAAAATCAATTTTCAAAAATGAAAAATATCGCAGAAAAGCATTTTTTTAACAAGGAGGTTTTGACAACAATCCCCATTGACTTTGGATTTTTTTCTTCTACAGTAATCTAATGTAATCTATTGTCCTATTGAATTTTGCGGTACTTTGGCTTTAAATTTACTACAGTTACTGTCCTTATTTTCTGATAATGTCGTTTATGGACGTACGTATTTACAAAAAAATGTCACGTTTATACACACAAACAAAAATTTGAAATACTTTTTAAAATACCATGTTACAGAATTGTAGTAAGCTTTTCCAGTAAATATAGCAAATATAATGTTTACTTAATAATAATAATAATAATATCACCTAACCGCTACAAATTAATACAGAATTTAAAAAAAAATTAGACAATATATATATATATATATATATATATATATATATATATATATATATATATAGGAAAACCCTAATGAGCCAGGCAAACCTAGCTAGGTATGCCTGGCTCATTAGATTTTCTCTACTTCGTGTATTGTGCACTTTACGTAGTTGCCTTTAATCGTTTTGGAGGGTATTTTTTTCTTTGAACTTTGACCTTGAACTCTGGACGGTTGTTCTTGGTTTCATGTTTTTGGTTCTTTCTTTTTTGTTCCTCATTTTCCTTGGGTTTGTCTGCTGCAGGTCGAGGCATCCGAGGTTTTTCCAGGCGAGTACCGCCATATATATATATATATATATATATATATATATATATATATATATATATATATATATATATATGACGTCACACATTATGAAATGGACAAAGTCCGACAATTATTTTAAGACATTTTTATGTTTAAACATTCTTTTTTATAGATAAAAATATTTAAGTAAATGCTCTGTTTTATAATAAACAGTATTAAACAACATTTACCGGCCTGAATGTCCGAGAAATTTTCACAGAAAATATTCGAACCTGTTTCCTTGACCTGCCTTTACCGATTTGGCCACAGAGGCGTGTTCGGTTAGCAAGGTTACTGTATTTGAACTTCAATCTTCTATGAATCTCTCACGTACATTCATATCTGCTCAAGGCGTATCAAATGTAAACAAATGACGTCACACATTATGAAATGGACAAAGTCCGACAATTATTTTAAGACATTTTTATGTTTATACATTCTTTTTATAGATACAAATAAAAAATAATATACAGTATTAAACAATGCATTTACTTAAATATTTGTATCTATAAAAAGAATGTATAAAGATAAAAATGTCTTAATACATACATATATATATATATATATATATATATATATATATATATAAGTTTGGGTTAAAGATCAATGAAACTTCTTTGTCTTTCGTTTATTTTCTTTATTTTTCCGGCCATTAACGTGTTTAATATAAAGTGTCCAATATCTAAGGAATTTCGTTTTTCATAAGACATTATCAAAACATCTGTTTTTGAGCCATGTTGGTTTCATCGTGTTGCAAATATCGCGTCGTTGATTTTATAAAGTGTTGCATCTTAACGAGACGGATTTTATTGTCGCGATAATTATTTATTCATTTAAAAATTTTATTTAGTATATTTGTTTCTAAATTCTGTAACATTTTCTTGAAGTGGAGATATGGTGAATCTGGAAAGTAAGATAATGAAGATCGTTCCCATTCATTTGGATATCCCAGGTACGTCTAGCAACCTATCATCAATAAATGTGTCCAAAGTGATTGATCGAACTGTTTATCTATTTATGCTATTTTATTTCTTTCTATTCAAGTTCCGATCTCTCTCTCTCTCTCTCTCTCTCTCTCTCTCTTCATATATATATATATATATATATATATATATATATACTTAGAGAGGACATCATTTCACTTTTACGAGACCCTTTCGACCAACACTTTAGCAAAAGAACGTTAGTGCGTAGGACAAAATACTCAATGACACACAAACAAATAGCGAATGAGCAGGGAAAATTGGAACACGATTAAAATAGATTTTAATTGTAAATAATTCTTGATGCTGTGTATATTAAATTTCATCAGCCAAGCCTATGTAAGCAAAAGGAACACTTTATTCGCTCCTTACGTTGCGTTTTTTTTTTTTCTATTTTATACTCTTTTTGGAATCTTTTATTTTGTTTTTAGTCGTTAATTCATTTACAATTAAAATCTGTTTTAATAGTGATCCAATTTTCCATCTTCATTCGCTATTTACAAATGTGTCATTGCGTATTTTGTTCTACGTGCCAATGTTGTCCTTTAGATAATGTGTTGGCCGTAAAAGTTTCCTAAAGGTAAAATGATGTCCACTCCATTTAAGTCTATTTTCTTCTTCTGTGGATATGGGTCTTTATATATATATATATATATATATATATATATATATATATATATATATAGAGAGAGAGAGAGAGAGAGAGAGAGAGAGAGAGAGAGAGAGAGAGAGAAAGACAGAAAAAATCTTTTTAATAGGCTTTTAAAACTTTACCATAAGCGTAAGCCATAAACCTAACTCCCAATCCCCTAAAACAGCGGGAATAGTGGAAATCACGGACCTCAGTGTTGGGAATCAACAATACTTGGATTTAGCGACAAATAAGTTTTATGCCCCCTCCCCGCCATGAAAATTATTGACAGTGATTCAAAAATCTGCTACAATGAGTTCACGTACAAACAAATATGTCATTCGCAAAATCAAGTTGTAACTTTTTTTTCCTGTCACGAAAATATCACATTACACCAGACAATTTACAAATCCAAGATCTACGAAGTCGTCTTTCTCGTCGCTGAAAAACTGATGCATTTCCCAGCCGGTGTTTAAATCGATGCGAGAGGTCGAACCCATGTAAAAAAAAAAGGTCGGTATTTAGAATGCTGATTTTTAAGCCGCACAGTCCTTGGATAGATTTTTACCCAGCTAAGGATCTGATGAGACTCATTTGCACAAATCTAATAAGAAAGAATTCGTTTTATATGATACCAAAAATGACTGCGATACCCACATAGTTAAAACGTACCAATGTGAGTACAAAGTTTATTAAGCAGCACTTATGCACACGAATAAACGGACGTGACGTGAATAGGTACAAAGTACACGTATGTTAATAAATACCTTAATAAATACCCTAACTTCCTGGTCGGACTTCCATTCAATACACCAAAACAAAGAGGTGTGTATGGATGTACAGCCAGTCCCATTTCCTTTCTGAAATGTCCCTACCCACATTGAATCATTGGCATCATTCCCATTTGTGTTTTCTTTTATTCCTTCTGATTTTTTTCTCTGATTCCATTTGCAGTTACAAAATAAAGAAATTAGGAAGAGAATAAGAGAGAGAGAAAGAGAGAGGGAGAGAGAGAGGGAGAGTGAGAGAGAGAGAGGGAGAGAGAGAGGGAGAGAGAGAGAGAAAGTGAGAGAGAGAGAGTGAGAGAGAGAGGGAGACTGAGAGAGAGGGAGAGGGAGAGAGAGAGTGAGAGAGAGAGAGTGAGAGAGAGAGTGAGAGAGAGAGGGAGACTGAGAGAGAGGGAGAGAGAGAGAGGGAGAGAGAGGGAGAGAGAGAGAGAGAGAGAGAGTGAGAGTGAGAGAGAGGGAGAGAGAATGAGAGTTTATGTTTATGTCTGCACGCGCGTGCGTGTGAAAAGAAAGAAACAAAGAAAATAAAAAGTAAAAGAGGAAAGGAAGTAACGAGAGAGAATGAGAAAAAGAAACCGACAAAGAAAGAAAGAAAGAAAGAAAGAAAAATGAAAGAAGAAAAGAAAGAAGAAAGAATGAAAAAAGAAAGAAAGAAGAAAGAAAGAAAAAAGAAAGAAGAAAGAAAGAAGAAAGAAAGAAAAAAGAAAGAAAAAAGAAAAAAGATAGAAACTAAGAAAGAAAGACACTAAGATAACGAAAGGAGTCGAAATGAAAACAGAAAACGAAAAAAATCAAATTTAAGAATGGATTTCAGAATAGAAATAAGAAAAAAAGAAATAAAATGAAAGAAATAAGTGGGGGGAATTAAAAGAAAAAGAAAAAAACATGTAAAGGAAACTAAAGATCGCTCAGTCGACCGGAAGCTTAGCGGCCGGAAATGAAAAAGTTTCAGTGTCTGATCGTATTCAACCATTTGTTACATAGATCTTGTCATATGTTTAAGATGTTCTGCGTGCGTGACTTTTGTGGTTAAGGGTGCGGTATAGAGGACAGTCGAATATCAAGGGACGGTAACGAAGGCTGGGTTTTAGGCGAACCTAGACCCCCATCCACCATAAACTTCTAGCCCTCAAATACTTCAACTCTTTTCCTCTCGACAAGAAGGGAAAAAAAGGCTTTTAGCATTTTGATGCGCCGTTGGAAGTTTAGTCATCTATATTATAACAAACGGCGGAATGGAAGTCGCAAGGGACCGTCACTCAGCTTGAACTGGCAATTCATGTGAGAATGATTTCTTCCTCCGACAACTGAGTATCGGATTCTTAAATGTCTGTTTTTGTAGGCATTAAAAAAAATCTTGTATTGTCGTTCGGATTCTCGATGGGAACCGGTTTGAATCCACCCCACCTCACACACACACACACCAAAAAAAAAAAAAAAATACCAGTTTATTTAATATATTTTTATCACATATTTTATAAATTCCTAGACGACAGTATGGACGGGAGGGAAATAATCTTGAAGTGGGCTCAGGAAATAATTTAATTGCGAGTGATCAGGTTAGCCCAGGAATTAATAGCTTAACCTCATTACTCGGAAATCTTGATTTATTTGAGAAAGGCATTAGAATAATCCGGAGTATTATGACATGGTGGAGTAATGGATAGCGACCCGGATTCAGGAATCGGAGAGCCGAGTTCGAATTCCAGTCGGGTTCGTTACATTCACTTACGTACAAAATCTTTGGGAAATGTATGGGTAAATAGTAAGACAGACTGTGGGTCCTATAGCAATGGGTGGCAACTCAGAAAATTCAGAATTCAAATTCTCCACGAGTTAAATACCATCACCAGCCAGTAATTAGCTAAGTGTGTTGAATATGGCTACTCCCCCTGAAGAGATGGTCAATCAGAGACGGTTTTGGTTGAATGAGAAGGTGCTGAATTTGGACTGGGAGTATACTGCCTGCAATCGGATAGAAAATGAATTGAACAAATACACAATAATAGAATGAAGGATATGTATTCTTACCTGATTTATTTGACCTATACAACGACGCAATCCCGAGAGGACTATTAATACTATCAAGATTTATTATTGGTAGGCTTAATCTTCATAACGTAAGATAAGATATTACTGGAAGAGACAGAAAAAAATTTCAGGAACTCCTAAACAACGTAGTAAAAGAGAGCCGGAGTAAAGGACTCACTATCAATTGTAAGAACACAGAATGCAAGATCGCTAGCAAGTGGAATAGATAAAATATAGATTTTGTTTTTTACAGTAGGGTTTTCCTTGTTCAAGGCCCGAGGGCCACTCGAGGCAGAGGGTTACGTTAAGAGGCAGTTTATACAGATAGGAGGTATAACGGTTTACTTACCTGACGGGGGTATTCCGCAGACTAGGCTATGCGCAAAGGGCAGAGTCTCGTCTCGGGAAACTGACTTCATTTTTACATGGGCTATAGGGAATTTTGCCCGAGCCTACGGGCCCGGATACCTCATTTTAAAACTCGGCCCTGTGCCACATCTTGCTGCGTGGGGCAGAGGGTAAATAATTATAACGGTTAACCCTAGACTTGAACAGATCAAGTAGTGATCGAGGAAACACCCCCTTCGGTGTCGGTTCCAAAGAGCCGACCATTTTCCCAGCATCTTTGGATCGTATATAAGAGTTCCATATGAGGTTAGGGGTGAGTTTAAGGCCCAATAGACCCTCGAAGCAGGGAATCTCCACGAGAGGACATCGTTCATCCTAACTGGCGGTAGTTCAGGGTCCGATCAGCGGCGAAGGAGTGTATCTAATTTGGTTTTCGAGACTTTGAATGTAACCAGCTAGTTTTCCCCACTCTGTAGTTAGTCGGAAAAGAGGACAACTGCCAAACTCTGATCGTCAAAAATTTTTGAGGTGCACCCGTATATCGTCGTACCATCGACATAGATGTTTACAAATGATCTGAGTATATACTTTTACGCAGATCATTTATGTAATACAAAAAGAGGGTTGGTCCGAGAAGTGACCCCTGGGCGACGCCTTTGTTGACCCCCAGGGAATCGCTTGTTAATAACTACCTTCAGTGACCTACCCGTTAGGAAAGATTTTATAATCGAGAAGACACTTCCAGTAATTCGATAGCTGGAGAGCTTGTGCAGCAAACCTTTGTGCCGTAACTTGTCGAAGGCCTTCGAGATATCCAACACTATGGTCCTCAAGGTGTGTTTGTCGTCAACAGCCTCACAAATTCTGTAAGATATTAGCTAAGAATTGGAAATAACAAAATCAAGAACGTACAGAAATTTAATTATCTGGGGTGAAGTGTTAATAACAGACGACGGAAAATGTGACACTGAAATCCGAAGTTGCATTGAAATAGCGAAAGATGCCTTTCAAAGGCTAAGCAAAGTATGATGAATCAGGAAAATTTCTTTAGAAACAAAGAAAAGACTGCTGAACTGCTATGTGATATCAAGCCTCCAATAAGGCAGTGAATGCTGGACAATTTCCTTGCAGATAAAGATATGACTCAACAGAGATGTGCTTCTACAGAGGACGCAGGAAAATTTCGTTAGATACAAAGAATGTTGAACTACTATCTACTGTTAATCCTCATATGGGGACGGTGCATAAATTGATTGATTTAATTTTTACGGCTTAAAAAACTTACCTTATTTCAAACCGAAACGTATTTTTTGAATTGTAAGAATAAATCTTTATTTTTGCGAGTGAATATCCCCGTAATGTTTTTAGAGTAACAGTGATTTTTTTAACATAGAAGTCTAAATATTTAACCAATAGATGGAAGGAGGAAATGGATTGATGCCTTTTCCAAAGGTATTTGTGTGGAAGTGAATGTAATGAATTCGAACTCGGTTCTCTAATTTCTCACTCCAAACCTCTATCCATTACACCACCCACACGTCCACGCCGCATAAAATAAGATGAAATTTTTTTTCTACATTCTTCAATAGAACAAAAATAAAAAATGAAATGTTTAAACAGAGATAGATTAATAGACATTTCTTCTTATTATTTTTACTGTGTCCCTTCATCGCTTGAATGATCACGGCTCTCCACAACATCCTATCATTTGTTGCTCTTAGTAATATTTATCCCCATATCACCCCTCCCAATCTCGTTAGATAGGTTACTCATCGTTTCCCACTGACCATCTTGCCTTCAGTATGCCCTGTGTGTGTCAAATTCTATAAACCTTCTTTCCTCATTATGTGTCCCAGAAATGTTTTATCCTAAGTACACGTGTTCTTTTTTTTTTTTTCATAAGCATCATTTTTGTTCCCAATTCTGTCCGTGAAGACAGAGAAAGAAAGGAGAGAAAGAGAGAAAGATAGAGTGAGACAGACAGACACACACAAAGAAACCAAGAAAGACGCAGAGAGAAAAAAAAGAAAGAAAAATATAAAGAGGCAGACAGAGAAAAACAGATACAGTTACAGGGAAAGAGAGACAGGGAGAAAACATTAAAAGAAGCTTTAGTGACTTCGGCAAACGAGAGTTCATCTCAAGGAAAACGAGACAAAACGAGAAATGGATGACAAATGAAATTCTAGACATGATGAAAAAGAGACAGTAGACAGATTGAGAAAAACAGTGACGGATAAAGAAATAGACATAGAGAGAAGGAGAGCGTGAGGGGGGGGGATGGTAACCTTAGCCGTTTCATTATAAGGAAACATTCAGTGACCAAGCAGTCAGTATCACTGTCGGTTGGTTGAAATTTCTAAAATCTTTATCTTCAGGAAAATCGGTTTCTCAAGTCCATTACACGATATCGCTCTTTCTAGTATTGATGCCGGTGGTGGTGGTGGTGGGGGGTGTCCAACTTAACTTCTTTATTTGAAGTCGTGTGAAATGTCAACATCTTGATTATGTCATTGTTTTCTCTTCAAGTTACACCAGAAATTTCTGCATTTGCTGCTGTTGAAAGTCCTCAAGTTATTTGATACAGTTCTTTGTGATTTTAGATTTCAATTCCACAAGTTTCGAAGAAGTTTGGTCTTCACTAAGATTCAAAGGCATCATTTCCTCAAAGCCATTTTTAAGCATTGAGCTTAGAAAGCTGTTGTATATTGCAGAAAGTTTATGGCATCATCTCACTTCTTTTCTTGCACATTGTAGTATCTTCTGAATCTTCCTCTCACTTCGAATGGTTATTTCTTCATTTTAGCTGTGTCTGGTACAAGGCCAAGATAATGAAGCAACATATGTACTCATTAAACTAGTGAAATGGTCCCTGAGAAGAGCAGCTTTCTAATTCTGTTGCCCACAGTTGCCTATTCTCAAATTCGTTTACATTATTTACATTGTTCGGACTTTTTTCCTCATCTTTATTGTTATATTCACGATATTTCTACCCCAGGGGATATACGTTGGAATTTCGAACCTTTATTTTATCCACAAGGGGAGATTGTTCTCGATCTACGTGCCATGCCTTTTTTCTGGATATCTCAGTTTCAGTTGTTTCCCTTTAGTAACTCAACTCTGTGGCCAGGTATTGAACACACAACTCTTTGAATCAAGTCTTACTTGCACGGACGCTTTTACCCACTGGGCCACGTGATGCAGACAACGTAAATAGTGGAAATAATTACAATACCTCATCTGAGAAATATAGACAGATCCTGAAGAAAGCCGGATTGTATAATGGCCGAAACATTGTGAATGTGACAACAAAGATGTGGACAACAGGCCAGACAATGTAAATAGAGTAAATAATTACAATATCTC